AGCTCTAGTAATTTTCTGGTAGAGTCTTTAGGGTTTTCTATGTAGAGGATCATGTCATCTGCAAACAGAGAGAGTTTCACTTCTTCTTTTCCTATCTGGATTCCTTTTACTTCTTTTTCTGCCCTGACTGCTGTGGCCAAAACTTCCAAAACTGTGTTGAATAGTAGTGGTGAGAATGGGCACCCTTGTCTTGTTCCTGATTTTAGGGGAAATGCTTTCAGTTTTTCACCATTGAGGGTAATAGCAAGCAGATTCTTTACCACTGACTCACCAGGGAAGCCTTGGTCCACATAAAAAAAAAATCTTAGAATAAAAAAAAAGAAAAGAAAAGATGAGCTCAGCTGGGAGCAGACTCTCAGGGTCTTACATGTTCTAATGAGGAGTGTGGATTTTGTCCTGAGCTGTGGGGGATCCTCATCAGAAGATCTGCATGGGTCACACACATGTCTCTAAATGCTTTCTTTTTGTAGTGGCACAAATATGTTTAAGAAGGTGAGCCTGAAGGAGTCAGGGAAACCGATTGGCTTTAGTCAGTGATGGGACTGTGAACTGCTACTGTACTCTCATCATTCTTCTGCATTTTGATTTTCCGCTTAGATGTGGATGAATGTTCCAGGAACTCAACTCTTTGTGGTCCCAGTTCTATCTGCACCAACATCCAAGGAAAATACAGTTGCTCCTGCTTGCCAGGGTTCTTTTCACCTGGTGTGTGGAGCCCTGAAAAACCTGAGGCCTTCAAGTGTGCAGGTAACTCTTCCAGCCATTCTGGGGACTTCTCAGTGGGTGTCAAGCTACCCTGAAGCATGGTGACTTATCACAACAGTCATTTGTTCTTTTTTAAAACGTATTCCTTTATTTGGCTGCTTTGGGTCTTGTCGTGGCACATGGGCTCTTTCATTGGGTGTGCAGGCTTAGTTGCTCCATGGATTTGAAATCTTAGTTCCCCAACCAAGGATTGAACCCTTGTCCTCTGTTTTGGAAGATGGATTCTTAACTACTGGACTACCAGGGAAGTCCCCAGTCATTTGTCTTTGCCCATGATTCTGTGGGTTGACCATATGGTTTTTTGGGGGCCCTAGCATGGTTGGCAGGTCCAAAATAACCTTGCTTACGTGACTGGTAGTTGGCATCTGCCTCTGGCTGGGAGTTCAGCTGGCCCTTCAGTTTTCCTTATGGACTTTTCCTCATGGCTGCTTGGGCTTCCTCAGAGCAAGGCAGCTGGCTCAGAAACCCTCAGAGGGAAATTGGTTATATGGCCAGGGTTCCTTAACTTTGGTATTATTGACTTTAGGGACTGGATAGCTCTTTGTTGTATGTTGGGGATGCTGACCTGTGCATTATAGGATATTTGGCAGGGTCTTTGGTCTCTGCCCATTGGATCCAAGTGACCACTAAAAATTTCTCCAGACATTGCCCAAGGTCCCTCAGTTGAGAACCACTAGCTCAACACAATAGAAATTTCTTACTCTCACACCAATTCAGTACAGATATACTTGGCCGAGGGGTAAATTTCCTCCATGGAGTGATATAGGGAACCAGTCTCTTTGTATCTCTTGGTTCGTCTATCCCTTAAGACATTAGAATTCCTGGTTCCAGCGACTTCTCTGGTGGTCCAGTGGTTAAGACTCCATGCTCCCAAAGCAAGGACTGCAAGTTCCACCCTTGGTTAGGGGACTAAAGTCCCGTAGGCCATGTGTGTGTGGCCAAAAGATTTAAAAAGAAATTCCTAGTTACAGTCAGTGGTGGGGAAAAAGAAAAAAGGTACAGCGACTTCTTAACCCCTTGGCCCGGAAGTTACATCTCATAAATGAAAGCTAGTCATATGATCCATCTAGCTGCAGAGGATTCTGGGGAATGTAGTCCCTGGTTGGGCTGTTATGTTTTAGCAAGAACTCTTTGTTTGAGGGGCTTCCCTGGTGGCTCAGTGGTAAAGAATCTGCCTGCAATGCAGGAGGAGGTGCAGGTGACATGGGTTCCATCCCTGGGTGGGGAAGATCCCCTAGAGGAGAACATGGCAACCCACTCCAGCTTTCTTCCCTAGAGAATCCCATGGACAGAGGAGCCTGGTGGGCCACAGTCCACAGGGTTGCAAAGAGCCAAACACGGCTGAAGAACTGAGCACATGTGCTCCCTCTGCTTTGAAAGGGAAAGAGTGATTTTTGTTGGCTTGGTGACCCATCCTGCATCATGCCTGGTCTCTACTCCACAGATGTCAATGAGTGCCGTGACAGGTGACAGTATCACCTTACTTCTCTGCACCGTTTGATATCTTTGAGTTTTTTGCAGATATTGATGAGTGCCTTCAGGATCCCTCACGATGTGGCCCAAATTCTGTCTGTACCAACACCCTGGGCTCCTACAGCTGTGGCTGCATTGTAGGTTTTCATCCCAATCCAGAAGACTCCTGGAAACACAGCAACTTCAGCTGCCAAAGTAATAATCTCCTTACGTATCTTGGCAATAGAATCTGTGTCTTGCTTTGTCGAATTCTCACTTTTTCTCATTCTCTCGATTCTCCTCTTTTTTTTTTTTACTTTATCTACATAGTCTCTTATTTTCTGTTCACTTGTTCATTTATTAATCACTCATTTGATAAATTATTTTTGGAGCATCTGCTAATTAATAAACTCAACAGTCCTCTGCACTAGGTACTGAGGATTTAATCCTGGATATGATAGACATGATAGCTGCCCTCATGGAGCTTATAGTCTAGGGAAGGGAGTACATGCATAATTGTTTAATAACCACAATGAGTGTGACAATTGAAAACTTGCAGTGCACTTTGTTGTGCATTGTGTAGTAGGATATTTAATATGCTCTGTGAAGTGCCATTTAAACAGAAACTTAAAGAAAGAGTGTGGATTATCTAGATTAAGAGTAGAGTTCATGGTGCTCCAAATGATAGCATGTGCAAAGGCCCTGAGGCTAATGCAAAGTGAGGAGGGCATGGGAAAATGGCATTTATTTCATCTGAGGATGTGGGCAGAGGCCAGCTTCTATAGGACTTGTGTGCTGTGTAAAGAATTTTATAGTCTTTTTGCTGAGAACCATGGGGAACTTTGAAAGGTTTAAAATTTTTTAAGTTATGGACTATTTGTTGTGTTAAAAGTATAGATAACTTATATGGAGGCAAAGGGGTATAATAATAAAATGAGTATATCTTAAGTCCTTAGCAACATGAGAACTAGAACATCATCAATGCCAATACATATCCCTGACTCCTCTGAAGAGAGGCCCACTTGGAACTTTGTTTCTAATTCCTGTACTTAAAATATTCCCCCACTAAACATTCCTTGTTTAGTATGGTTTGCTTTGGAGCTTCGTAAAAATGGTATTGTACTATGTATAGTCTTTTCTGACTTGCTTTCTTCACTTGCTATCATGCTTTTCAGAATCACTGCTGTAGTGTGTAGCTATAGTTTGTTCATTTCCACGGTTGTATTATATAACATGGCAATGGATGGATTTCAAGCAGGGGACGATGAACGCAGACTTGCTGGGGTTAAGTTTGATTTGGTTGCTTTTGTTTTCTTCTGAGGGATTCCCTTCAAGTGTAAAGATGATGTGGTACCCAACAACAAGCAGGTCCAGTTATGCCATGTGGGAGCAGCAGTGAAGCCTAAATATGTAAGTATTTTTGAAGGTTCCTAGTTTTCGAGGTTTTTCCCAGAAGGCACTTAGGTAGGATGTTGTCCTGCAGCTTTTACAAAGACAAAAATAATCGTGGCCTAGACAAGATAGATGTTTTTTTCCCTCTTTGTAGCAATCTGAATGTAAGCTGCTGAGATCTGACATGATGGCTCCATAATACTCTTCCATCATCAACACAAGACTCCCTTATTGTGGTCCAAAATGGCTACTGCAGCTCCTGCCATCAAATCTGCATTCCAGTTGGTGGACAGGGGAGAAGGGCAAGTGAAAGGCACAGTCCTTCCCTTTAAGCATATGACCTAGTATCACTTTTGCTTACCCAGCTTCAAGGAAAGCTGGAAAGGAAGGACATTTGCTATCTAAAACTTGGGAATTCGTTTACTCAAACAAGTAAGAATGTTGGAGTCTCACTTTTTGTGAGGTGTATTGCTGCATCTGTGTGATGTGGAATGGATGATACACAGCCTCCAAGCCAGACAAAGAGGAATTTGGATATCTTGATTTTCTAATGAAGTCATTCTAGTGAGTAGAGACTCCAGAGCATTTTCAGAAATTGATGTTACTATATTAAATATGAACTTATAAATTAGCTTTGGAATTCCCATGTACTTAAGTCCACAGTTGGTTTTTTAAAATTGTGAAATACACATAAAATTTATAATTTTAAAGTGTACAATTCAGAGGCATTTAGTACACTCACAGTGGTGTGCAAACACCACTTCTATCTCCAAAGCTTTTTCATCACCACCAAAATAAACCCTATATGCCCATTAGCAGTCTTCCCTCCTGTCCTCAATCCCCCCAAAACAGTGATCTAATTTCTATCTCTATAGACTTGCTCATTCTGGATATTTCATATAAATGAAATCATACACTACGTGGTCTTCTGTGTCTGGCTTCTCTCACTGAGCATCATGCTCTCAAGGCCCAACCACCTTGTAGGGAGTATCAGTGCTTCAGACAATGTCTGTAAAAACAAAACCACTGTCGTCTCTCTGAAGGTAACACTGAAGTCTTTGTAATCATGTTTTGAGTTTCGAACATCTTGGGGGTGTACCTTGGGTGCAGAACATCCTCTTTAACATAAAAGGGTTGTGAGTGAACATTTAATCTACTCCACTTGTAAGGTTTGAAAAATTAACATGCAGAAAAATTGCCTTTTTTTCTGTATAGTTTTGTGGGGTTTATAGCTTGAGTAGGTTTGTGTAGTTACCACCACAATTAGACAATAGAACTGTTCCATCCCTCTCCCCCCACAACTTCCCTGGCCCTCCCTTTTTTTTTAACTTAAAAAATTAAAAAAAATTTTTTTTGGTCGCATGGCATGTGGGATCCTAGTTCCCCAACCAAGGATCAAACCTGCACCCCTGGCAGTGGAAGTGCAGAGTCTTAACCACTGGACCACTGAAGAAGTTCCTTGGGTTTTGTCTTTACAGCCATATATTCAATCCCTTCATGGTTAACTCCTGTGAATTCCTTATCTGTTCTCTGTCATTTTAGTTTTATCTTTTCAAGAATGTTTTGTAAACAGAATCACACAATAAGTGGCCTTTAGAGTCTAGCTTCTCTAAGTAAGCACTGTGTTTTCAAGTTTCATCCACTTTGTAGCATGTCAGTGCTTCACTCCTTTTTGTGGCTGAGTAGTATCCCATTTCTGGGTGGACCACAGCAGGTTTATTCACTCATCTTTGAAGGATATTTGAATTGTTTCCACTTGACCAAGATCTCTTCATTCCTCCACCCCCACCTCAACTTTTGGCGATTATCAATAGAGCCATGATAAACATTTATGTGTGTGTGTGTGTGTGTGTGTTTGTGTGAATCTGAATTTTCATTTTTCCAGGGTAAATACATAGAAGTGGAATGACTAGATCATTATAGTTACAGATTTTATATAGATCTTTTTATTGATATATAGTTGATTTACAATGCTGTGTTAATTTCTGTCATAGAGCAAAGTGATTCAGTTACATATGTATATACATTAAAAAATATTCTTTTTCCATTATGGACTTATCATAGGATACTGAATATAGTTCTCTACAGTTGCAGATATTAAACATTAATTTCTACTAAGTCTTTAAGTTACAACTAATGGATGTTATTTCATTGATAAATTCAAATGAAAATAAGAATAACATTTTCATCTGTATTCTTGTGAATTTTAAATTAATTAGTATAACATTTATTCATGAAGTGTATGTTCATTCATAGAGTTTTCAGATTAAATTTGTATAAACAATGAGCCCTTTCAACAAACATTTAAATTCCTGCAAACATTTTCTAACATGTTTACATATATTCTCATTTCTCCCCAAATTTTAAGTACTGAATGAAGACTTACAAACCTAAGGCAAGGTTACTATACCCTTACATGCTGTGTGTGCCAAGTCGCCTCAGTCATGTCCAACTCTTTGTGACCCTTTGGAGTATAGTCTGCCAGATTCCTCTGTCGATGGAATTCCCCAGGCAAGAATACTGGAATGGGTTACCATCTCCTCCTCCAGGGGATCTTCCTGATTGAACTCGTATCTCTTATGTCTTCTGCATTGGCAGGCGGGTTCTTTACCACTAGTGCCACCTGAGAAGCCCTTACTATGTTCTTAAAGGATTTATAAATCCAATGAACCACATGTATGAATATAATAATTCAGATTTTTTAAATGTGCAATGCAGTATGTCAACCATAAAATTGTTCTCTGAAATTGTCCAGATAAAAATCACAAGTCTAATTGCTTTTTGGCATGAAATCATCTGATTGGTTTGCTTCTCTAATACATCAAATTGTTCCAACCATTGAGGAACAGATATCCAAATTAAGCCAAAGATTAAAAGATGTCCTAAAATTAACACACGTGTTTTACCATTATGGAGTTTTAGCCTGCCTGCTATTTTTTTCTTTCCTGAAGAAATAAACTAAACTTCCTAGCTAAGATGAATAAATTTAACGTCATAGGGAATTTTGATGAGGTTTCATCTGCTACAGAACTGAGAATCACACTTTTTCAGGATGATTCTAGTTGAGATTCTTCTGCTGTGTCAGTGGAGAGGGACCCCAAATTCATGCCTTTCATTTGGGATATGGTTACAAAACTCAGTACATCTTGTTTTTCCCAGACAAACATCTCTCAAGTTTCAATCTGACTCCGTTTTTACTGATGTTGTTTTCATCTTCTTGTCATCAAATTTGGGTAAATAGAAATTGGTTTCCCTGCTAAGATTTCTGTTAATTTCCTTCACCATTGGACTGTATTCAATTAATTTCTTCCCTTTGTTACTTAGGTTGTGAATTATTTTCTGATTTTTTTTGTTGGGGTCACATTTTATAGTCAATTTATTGACAATAATCAACAATCAAGGAAACAGTATCAGCATTAATATTAACACAATTATTGCTATTCTTTCCTTAACTGTGTTCCTTAGAACCAAATGTTAACATTTAGATGTGTATCTTTCCATATCTTTTTTTACTTTGTGAATACATGGATAACAGATCCACACCACACACACACATTGAAGCATTTATTTAGTACCTACTGAGTGGTTTATAGCAGTGATTAAGAATCCAACCTCTGATGCCAGACCCCCAAGGTTCAAATCTTGGTCCTGCTACCTACAAGATATGTACTCATGTTTTCCCATCCCAAGTGGTATTAACAGTAGCCTCATTTCATAGTTATTATAAAATTAAATAATATATATAATATTATTTAAATAATACATAATAAATTAAATAATATATAATATTATTTAAATAATATATATNGACATGTACATAATGCTATGCTTAAAATAGACAGCCAGAGCTTCTGGCTTTCCCTGTAGAACACGGGAAACTCTGCTCAATATTCTGTAAAAACCTAAATGGGAAAAGAATTTGAAGAAGAATAGATATTTGTCTATGTATCACTGAATCACTTTACTGTATGCCTGAAACCAACAGAATATTATTCATCAATGATACTCTAATATAAAATAAAATTTTTTAACAGGACAAATAATTGTAGACTCACAGGAAGTTGCAAAAATAGATATAGAATCCTATGCAACCTTCCAAATTTCCACGGTGGTGATATCTCATATAATGAAAAAAATGTCAAAACGAGATAAAAAACAACAACAAATGTGATTCTGTACTTTGCTTTACTTAAAAATAGCTCATGAACCTGCTTGTTAATGTATATAGATATACTATATCATTCTTTTATTAGCAACTGCATGTGGGGCTTCCCCTGTATATGGAGGATCCCCTGGAGAAAGGCATGGCAACCCACTCCAGTATTCTTGCCTGGAGAATCCCATGGACAGAGAAGCTTGGCGGGCTACAGTCCATGGGGTCACAAAGAATCAGATACGACTGAGTGACTTTCACACTATCCCATGATTTGATTTTAGCATGTTTTATTTAATCAATTGCTTGAACATTCAGGCTTTCCAGATTTTTGCTATCAAAAACCCTGCTGAGATGTACATCATTACACAAGATCCTTGCACAATTTTAAAGTATTTCTTGAAGGAGGAAATTCCCGGAAGGGAAATTGCTGAGTCAAAAGGGTACATGTAAATTACAAGGCAACAAGTGCTGACTTACTGCATACCAAGTTGCATCCCCATTTCCTGAATCAGGAAAAAGAGGCTGAGGAAATGTCCTTTTTTGTTCTTTTAAGATTTTTTTTTAAAGTCTTTATTGAATGTGTTACAATATTGCTTATTTTATGTCTTGGGTTTTTTTGGCCAAAAAAAAAAAATGTATGATGATGTATGGGATCTTAGCTCCCCAACCAGGGATGGAACCCACGCCACCTGCATTGTATGGAGGAGTCTTAACCACTGGACCACCAGGGAAGTCCCTAGTGAATGGCCTTTTACATTTTTTATCATCCCAGACTGTCAACCCATTCTCATGGTGAGAGACGGGGGACAGCTGCTGTTTCATTGACGAGAGAGAGAGCAAACACACCTTTCCTTGCAGAGTACGGCTAAGAGATTTGCCTCTGTGATTGAAAAAACATCCAAGGGGTCCAACTTCACCAAAGAAGAGACCTCCACACTGGCCACAGTCTTGCTGGAGAGCGTGAAAAGCACCACGCTGGCAGCTTTTCTGAAACCCTCAGCGAATGTCAGTCAGACTATCCAGACGAAACTCTTAGGTAGGATATCTCTTTGGTGTCAAGGTCACACCTGGGGGCTGACTTAGGCGGGTGACTTTGACATTGTGATTCCCCATGGCTTTCTCATATACCACATTCAACTTGTGTCTTCTGTGTTGGCAGGTGGATTCTTTACCACTGAACCACCTGGGAAGCCCTAAAGTGGAGTGGAGGACAGTAAAATCTGTAGGAGAAGGGATCAGAAAAGAGAGAGGCAGATTTTGTAGACAAACACTGGCTTCTCTGATGTCTTAGTGGTAAGGAATCTGCTTGCAATGCGGGAGATGCAGGACACCTGGGTTCGATCCCCGGGTCAGGAAGAACCCCTGGAGGAGGAAATGGCAATCCACTCCAGTATTCTTGCCTGGGAAATCCCATGGACGGAGGAGCCTGGCAGGCTACAGTCCAAGGGGTCCCAAAGAGTTGGAGGTTACTGAACACACAGCAGGGAATCACAATTTGACTTGAGGTAATGGGAGGGAGTGGGATTGAAAAGTTTGAGAATAAACACAGTCTCATCTAGCTTATATTTTAAAAGGACACCTCTGGTTCCATTACCTATCTTGTTTTTTATCTTAAGTCCTGTAATTATTGCCATATTACAGGTAAGAAATCTGAGGCTCAGAGAGGTTAAGTCATTGGTCAAGTTTAGACAGCAGGTGAGTGGTAGAGCTGGGCCTCCTAGTTTGTGCAGAACCTGAGCCCTTTTCCACCATGCTGGGCTTGCTCTAGACCCTCCTGATTTCCTTTGGTTTTGAAAAACCAGTCTAACTTTGGAATGGTCAGAGGCTCATGACTGTGTTATCTTCCATCCTTGTTCACTTCAAGTTCATTTTTCCCTGAAGCATCTCCTAAGATGTGAACCCTTACTCCTAGAGTTCCAACTGGGTTTCGAATTTGTCTGGTGCCTCTATCTGCCTGTCATTAATCAAGGGCCTCAGGATCTTTCCCATGACCCACCGTTCTTTCTGTTCTTTCCCTCGCTTAAAATTAGAGATGCATTCCTTTCTTAGCCAGAAACCAAACTCAGATCCCACTTTCTGGGTGACCTCCTGCCACTTCTCCCTTTCTCCCTTTTAGATATCGAGAGCAAAGTGATCGACAAAGAATGCGCTGAGGAGAACGAGACATTTAAGTTGAAAGCAAAAGGGGATGAAATGAAGATTTGGTGTTCCACGATCGAAGAATCTGAATCCACAGGTAGAAACCCATTCCTGAGAAACAAAGGGGAGGGTTATGGTGCATTTAAGCGGCAGATATTCATGGATTGATTGCTTTTTTATAAAATTTAATTTTTAATGTTTTTTAATTGGAGTGTACTTGCTTTACAATGTTGTGTTCATTTCTGCCATACAACAAAATGAATCAGCTATGTGTGAACAGTCTCATCTAGCTTATATTTTAAAAGGACACCTCTGGTTCCATTACCTATCTTGTTTTTTATCTTAAGTCCTGTAATTATTGCCATATTACAGGTAAGAAATCTGAGGCTCAGAGAGGTTAAGTCATTGGTCAAGTTTAGACAGCAGGTGAGTGGTAGAGCTGGGCCTCCTAGTTTGTGCAGAACCTGAGCCCTTTTCCACCATGCTGGGCTTGCTCTAGACCCTCCTGATTTCCTTTGGTTTTGAAAAACCAGTCTAACTTTGGAATGGTCAGAGGCTCATGACTGTGTTATCTTCCATCCTTGTTCACTTCAAGTTCATTTTTCCCTGAAGCATCTCCTAAGATGTGAACCCTTACTCCTAGAGTTCCAACTGGGTTTCGAATTTGTCTGGTGCCTCTATCTGCCTGTCATTAATCAAGGGCCTCAGGATCTTTCCCATGACCCACCGTTCTTTCTGTTCTTTCCCTCGCTTAAAATTAGAGATGCATTCCTTTCTTAGCCAGAAACCAAACTCAGATCCCACTTTCTGGGTGACCTCCTGCCACTTCTCCCTTTCTCCCTTTTAGATATCGAGAGCAAAGTGATCGACAAAGAATGCGCTGAGGAGAACGAGACATTTAAGTTGAAAGCAAAAGGGGATGAAATGAAGATCTGGTGTTCCACGATCGAAGAATCTGAATCCACAGGTAGAAACCCATTCCTGAGAAACAAAGGGGAGGGTTATGGTGCATTTAAGCGGCAGATATTCATGGATTGATTGCTTTTTTATAAAATTTAATTTTTAATGTTTTTTAATTGGAGTGTACTTGCTTTACAATGTTGTGTTCATTTCTGCCATACAACAAAATGAATCAGCTATGTGTGTGCTCCGTTGCTTAGTCATGTCCAACTCCTGGCAACCCCATGTATTGTATAGCCCACTGGCTTCCTTTGTCCATGATATTTCCCAGGAAAGAATACTGGAGTGGATTGACATTTCCTTCTCCAGAATCAGCTATATGTATTCATATATCCCCTCCCTCCCACCCTGCCCACAGATTGACTGCTTTTTAGACCTTTTTTTAAAATTAAACAAAATGTTTATAATAAGCCCTTATTGGTTGGGCTTCCCAGGTGGCACTAGTGGTAAAGACTCTGCCTGTTAGTGCAGGAGATTCAAGAGATGTGGGTTCTATCCCTGGGTCGGGAAGATCCTCTGGAAGAGGAAGTGGTGATTCACTCCAGTATTCTTGCCTGGGAAATCCCATGGACAGAGGAGCCTGGTGGGCTATAGTCCATGGGGTAGCAAAGAGTCGGACTTGACTGAGTACAACAAAAACAATATTTTGTTGGTTATCTGTTTCAAATAGAGCAGTGTGATCCTATCAATCCCAAACTCCCCCATGCATCCTTTCCCCAGACTCTCCCCACCCCAGTCCCCTCAGTTACCATAAATTCATTCTCTACATCTGCAAGTCTGTTTCAGTTTTGTAAGTAAATTCATTTGGATCATTTTTTAAAATTCTGCATTTAAGTGACATCCTACGGTTTATTTCCTCTGTCTGACTTACTTCACTTTGTATGATAATCTCCAGCTCCATCCATGTTCACGCAAATGGCATTATTTTATTCTTGTTTATGGCTGAGTAGTATTCCATTGTTGATATGTACCATATCTTCTTTATCCATTCACCTGTCCAGGGATATTTAGATTGCTTCCATGCCACGCACCGAGGAAACCAGAATTGAANGAATACATGTAAATCCATGGCTAATTCATTTCAATGTATGACAAAAACCACTGCAATGATGTAAAGTAATTAACCTCCAACTAATAAAAATAAATGGAGAAAAAAATGTCTTTATACTCCTAACAAAGGTACTCTGATTTCTGTTTAAAAAAAGAAAAAAAAAAAAAAAAGAATTCATTTGAATCAGGTCTAATGAGATGGATGAAATTGGAGCCCATTATACAGAGTGAAGTAAGCCAAAAAGATAAACACCAATACAGTATACTAACACATATATATGGAATTTAGAAAGATTGTAATGATAACCCTATATGCAAGACAGGGAGACACATATGTACAGAACAGCCTTTGGACTCTATGGGAGAAGGCGAGGGTGGGATGATCTGAAAGAACAGCATTGAAACATGTATGTTATCAAGTGTTAAACAGATTGCCAGTCCAGGTTGGATGCATGAGACAAGTGCTCAGAGCGGGTACACTGGGATGACCCAGAGGGATGGGATGGGGAGGGATGTGGGCGCGGGGTTCAGGATGGGGAACACATGTAAATCCATTGCTGATTTATGTCAATGTGTGGCAAATACCACTACAATATTTTAAAGTAATTAGCCTCCAAATAAAAAAAAAAAAAAAAAAAAAAAAAAAAAAAAAAAAAAAAAAAAAAACGATTTACAGAGGTAACCCTATAAGTGATGCATTTGTCCTTCTGTTGTGGTGGGCTGACTACTGTAGGCACACTGGTTTGGGTATTGGACATTTTCTGATTGACTGGCTGTGATGTGTGGTAGCATCACATGTTTTCTTGAGTGAGTAGCTTATTTCCCTTTGTCCTAGAGAAACTGAGATGCCCTGTTTCTGGCTCTATATCTTGGTAGGCCTGAAGCATTAGCTCTTTTGCCAACCTGTATTTTTGTTCATTTATCCTTTGGGAAGATATTTATCCTATTTATGAACTTGCTTTTGTATTTTCAGTAGCCTATTTTAAAATATTTTTTTAACTGATGCTGTGTATATGACACTAAGAAAGTGCATTAAAACATGAAGTTACAGATTCCTTGTGACTAAAGAGATCACTTTTTTAATAATAAGAAAAAAAAAAAAAAACCCACAACAGCAAAGGTTAAACTAAGTCCTTGTCTTAGGAACATCATGTAAACGCAAAATTATTTTTAATTTGTGAGAGGAAGAGTTAAGGAAAATTAAGCAAGCCATTTAGAATTAACTTTATATATATTTCTTTGGCTTTTTCCATCTCTTGGCTGTTTTCTGCTAAAGGTATTTCAGTGCATCTATCTCACAATTGTTTTCAGTGGCATACTTCATAAGCACATAAGTAAAATAATTTGTTTTCCCTCTAGAGACAAGTAGAATGTATGAATTTGTTTGCTTTTTTTTTCTTTAAGGTAAGTATGTTTGATTTCCCATATCTGAAAGGTATGAATCACTGGCATTAAATAACAATGAAATTTAATTCTTTAAATGGCTACTGTAGCACTGTGTTACATGCTCATAGAATATTGCTCATGCATAATTGCCATAGCTACAGAGTTTTAAAATGATGATATTACAATAGCAACAAACTGAACAGGACTAACCCTTTCTAAGGAATATTGCAAAACTGATGATAATACTGAGTGCTTTTACAGGTACAAAATATAAACCTTCCTTTCTCTTATTGCTGAGTTTGGCTGTTAGCTAACAATGCTGTTAACTTGTGGATTTTAAATTTTGGACATGAATTAAATTTGCCAGCAAATTTTACATTTTATTTCACATTTTATTTCACATTTCATTAATGTGAAAACTACATTTTAAATGTGCTTTAAAGCAAAATGGAATTAGAAAAAAAAGACATGCATTTGAAAGATCTTGGCACTGTGCTAAAAAATCAAGTCTCTTGTAGTAATACAGTATTATAATTTACAAAATGCAAGCTAACAGAATCTTCAATTTAACATTTTCAAAGATGAAATTAAGGTCAAGAATTTCACATCTATGATAGCACATATAGAAGGGCATTCAATATAAACATGCCCATCCCTATGAAGTGTGCAAATTTGACAATACTCAACAGAAGGTTTTAGTATCACATTCATAAGTGATGCATCCCAAGAATCACAAATCTGGGCCCTTAGGCTCTTATTCTAAAACATTTATATTTACTCTTCTATTTCATGTCATTTGTTGATAATACTCTGTACAAAAAGAAGAGGAAAATAAGTGATATAATAAACTGTTGCTCATTTAAAAAATTATTGCTGCTCTAATTCATTGCAAAGCATGCCTATATAAAACCAGTCTTAATGTTTACCAACTGCATTATTGCTCTAAAGAGAATGGATAGCATACACACTGAGCCTCAACTTGGAATTTTCATTAAAAAACTTAAGTTATACTCAGAGCTAGGAGAGGTTAACTTAGATTGTTAGCAGCTCTGACCTCTGTGCTCAGTCCAAAGTCTTAAATGAATTGCTGCATTTAGCTCTGAAAAATAGCTGAATTGGAAACTCACAGCAGATGGCAGTAAAAGTATACAACAGAGATGGAGGCACTGAAAGGCATTTTATCCCCAAATGATAGTATCTAATTGATAGTGTGATTGCTTTAATTCCTTTCTTGCAACAAGAAAACATGGGAAAATATATTTAAAATATTGCACATCAGGTAATATGGATGAAAGTGTCCAGACACATACAGCTTTCCTTACTGGTTCCTGTATCTAATGCTATTGTCATGGCTATGTGAGCAAATTTAAGAAGATTCTGCTGAAGAGCATTATGGTTTCATAGAGCCCTATCAACACACCCGTACAACTTGAGATTGTCAGTGAAACCTAGCAAAGCTATATGTTAAAACTGTAAAGAAAGATCAGGCGCAAAAGTCATAGTGTAATATTCCTTACCAAATAAAAGCAGTGCAAACACACCAAAGTATCCCAAAGCATCCTTTTTTGTTTAGATTGGAGTGGGCCAGCCTGGCCACACAAGCAACTTGTACAAGTGACACTGCATGGTTGTCATGAGGACTTCCTGTCTCTGGATGATTGCCATATTCATTGGTTTTAGGCCTTTTTTCTTAGCCTTTTCTTTGATAGACAGAGTCCACATACACTTATTAGTAAATTGCAAAGAAAACCAAGCCACTATCCTGTGAATCATTGATACTAAAGAAATGATCTGTGATGATGCCTGAGTACCACTGAAGTTGGAGCCTCATTTACACCCTTGATTAACCAGAGAAGTCATCAAAGAACTGTGCAGCTAGCTGTCATGAAATATCAGGGATACCACAAGGATTGTAGTCGTACTTCTGACCACACTACCAAAGTCATGTGCAATGAAACTCACTGTGTATTCTACAGATTTCACGCTTTCCTTGTAATTCCTCAGAAAGGGAAAATGGTCAGAATTTCCTTACTTTCTTTACTTAGTAAAAACAGTCATACAATGACCATTACAACTATACAAGTTGAAATTTGCATCCAGAAATGTTGCATTTTTTAACCCAACATATGTCTTTAACCTACCTGAACATAATAAGAATCTTCAGTGGTATACTGGAGCAGGCTTACAGTGGCTCATGAGTGTTATGATTGTGCAGTTTCTCAACTCCACATCAGTGAATTCATGGTTAGTAGCTTGAAATTGGCTATGGTGAGAATATTTATTATGCCTGGGAAATTGACAGAAGATACAAATCAAATCAACCACCTATCCTACCATTTTTCTTCTGAGAGCATATTCTTAAAAACTTACTAGCACAATGCTGAATTTCTTGAATATTTCTTAGTGGGGTAAGCATATATTCAGAACAAGGACAACTTGAAGTTGTAAGCCTAAGCTTCGTTGTTGATATTTCATTTGGAATTTCTGTAGAAAATCTGTTTTATTCATAATCTATTAGTTTATAGCTCTAGGTTGGAAAGAATGCTCAGACTACCGCACAGTTGCCCTCATCTCACATGCTAGCAAAGTAATGCTCAAAATTCTCCAACCCAGGCTTCAACAGTACGTGAACAGTGAACTTC